CCAAGATATTAATCAGATGGCACTAATAAAATTTGTCAGAGGTTCAGATATTACTAGCCTTAGTATGTGCACCTCTGAAAGTTTCTGCAGCTAAATATCAAAATATTGACTTCATACATTTATTGGTTTGATGTGAACAATGTAAAAAGGAGGTTTTAGGAAGGCTCTGTACAACACGATGGTGTCTCTTAGGAGGGCACAGGGCACAGACAGAATAACCAGATGAGGCTGGTAACAGAGGAAAAAAGAAAGCTGTGCAGGAGGCATCATTACCAAGGTGCAATATAGGCCTAGGTTCACCAATGGAGGCCATAGCAAGCTGCATTTTTAATTTTTTTATACATCAGAATACAGGGGTACCTTGATACATGACCTCTGACAAATGCTTAGGTAGATAACACCAAATTCCTAAACAGTAGTACTGAAAAACACATAAATCACCTCTATGCTGGAGTTCTGGCTAAAGGAACAAGAACATTCTTTGAAAGAGAATTTCTGTAAACCAAATAGGCTTTGTTTTTAAAGAAGGGCTATCCTTTTACCATCCGTGTTTTAGCAGGAATGTCTGTGTGCAGCACAGTAGATGTTTAATTTGCTTCTGAAATGCTTATGTCTTGACTTCTGTGAAGTAGGTCAGTTCCTTCACAATGTGCAACCCATCATGCCTTAGTTCTTGAAAACACCAGTATTCCCTTTCAGCAAAATTCCATTAGGTATATGGGGCAGACATTTTAAAACTTCCCTCTATTTTGCTAAAATCTCATCTTTCTTATAAAACCCAGCATACAAGAAATACACAAATAGTAACTAATCCCATATCAGAGACCCTCTTATGCCAGTTCCAAGAAGCTGGAGTCAAAAAAAAATACATAAATGAACAAATAAATAGCTTTTTAAAAAGTAGTCCATTCTTAGGAGCCTGTGCATTATGCAGTAAAAAAATTAACATGCTTGACCCATTATGGAAAGGGCTGAAAAGGTTTATCAGTGATGCACAGTTGCACAGGACATTATCTCAGTAGCAGTACATGACCTAGTGACATTAGGAGAAGTTTAACAAGAAGGGAAAAAAATAAATCTGATTTTTGTGGGGTGAAGGGAATAAAAGGAGAGCAATTGAACACTAAGAACCATCTTCTCTTGAAATAGCCTAGAACACTCCATCTAGTCTCTGTCTCAAGAACAGCCTTTTGGCCAGTTTCATTGTATGGTATCAGCTGTGCTTCACACCATTATATTTGTGGTAAGACATTCCCTTTCACTCCCTCACTACAGCTCCATACTTGAAAAGCTGACTGCAGAAATCATGCTCCAAACAGAGGAATCCCACCTGAGCCCATGCTGCCTTTTCCCAAGTTGAACCCCACTGGCTCTGACTGTGCCCTGCTGATGTAAAGGAGCCTGGGCTGTGGCCAGCCCAGCAGTGAGGACCTACAGGATGCACACACCAAGCTGCTTACAGGGCTTGCACAGGCCAAGTTTGCACCCAAAGAGATACAGAATCTGGCACATAAAGGCATCAACCATTTTTACTTACAGCTGCCATTAACTGCTGTAAAAGAGGTCTTGATCGCAAACAGATGTGGGAATCTACAAGTTTGAATCCACTGCCACAATCTTTTTTAAAGTAAACTTCTAAAAGAGAAGCACTGAAAAATGTGGAAGCTCACCCTAAGCAATAAATCATCAAAAACAGAAGGTAACCTCTGAATGTTACAGTTACCTTCTTGCTCTTCCTCAAAGGAGAAAAACATTAAAAATCCATGAAGTGTTCTTCATTATCATGGGCCTGCAGAAACTAACAATAAAATAAACAAAAAAACATTCTGAAACAAACAAAAACAAAGCATTCTGGTGACTGCACAATATTCAGAAAGGCAATTTTGCATGTGTGGATTTTTGTAGAAGTCCACTACCCTCTTAGAAATTTGGGGGAAAGAAAAAAGAGGAAGAGAGGTAAATTCAACTTTACTATTTTCCAGAATAAGCCTCTTGATAAATTCCTCCTCAACAAAACTCTTTCCAAACTCCCCTTTTCTTTCAGATACCAATTTACAAACAGTTGTAAAATATTGCAGAAATTGAGATTTTTCTGGCAAAGTACCAATGATGTAGAGGTATTTTGTTGTAAAACCAATACCTACTGGAAAATAATTTCTCCACCTGTTTTTGAAAAACTACTAATGGATTGGGTATGGAACTTGACTTAGAGAATTCAAACGCATGATTTTGAAGGCAGACTGGATGAGTACTTCTTTATGAAGTACATAACACAGGCAGACATCAAACAGTTCCACTAGCACTAAAATTTCCAGTTAAATTACTCTTGAAGATTTCACATCCCTCCATTTTTTTTTCTCCCTCTCATACTGTCAGAAACAGGGCCTGGAACAGTGAAAACCACACATCTCTTAAAAGCTTAAAATAGCCCACAGCTGATTTAAAGGTTCTAAAAGTCTTGATTTATTCAAGTAGCTTTACCCACTTCAAAAAATAAAATGTTTCCTGAATTTCCATCAATATGAGCATGAAAACAACTTCCACACAAAACACAGTAACTAAGACACTGCATGACATGATTTTTACAGTTCCTAAAAGTACCAGTGACAAAGTAAATGCCTGTTAGAGACACGAATTTGCACTTTGAGACCTGTCACTGACACATATACCCAAGCAGGATGGAAGGGCTCTCACTTGAAGAACAGTGAGAAATAAATTTGAAGTGTCAAAAAAGTTTCCTTTCAGTGCATTAGTCTTTGTCATCATTTATTTAATTTAAAAAGGCACATTTGGCAACACTACCAATTTGAGAAACCTTATGACTTGCAGGAATACTAAGGAATAAACACCCAGCATTCTCTCTTCACAACACAGATAACCAGACTATTGTTCTTTCATTCTAAAATGGCAAAAATATCATCAGAGTTCTCTACTGTGAAGAGTTTTTCCCCTCCCAATGTCACATCCATAAACGTCTGTATGTCATACAACTTCAAACAATCCAACAACAAAAACATAATAGCTAGTCTAATACAAAATAAAATTTTCAGAAACAAAGAATCGCCCTATTACATTTAATACTCAGTCATCATCTTTAACCAAGAGACCATTAATGAGCATGACTCCAGTGTAACAGACCTGCAACAAAGCACACTTCAGAGAGTTGTTTTACCCCAGTCTGTCCAGTTGTTTTGAATGTACAGACATCTATTACCCATCAGCCTCCCCAGTGTAAACTTCCTTCTCAGACTCTATCCATAAAAAAGGCCAAGAGTAGAGTAAAGCATAAAAAGGAAACCCATAACTGTTCACAAATTTGAAGACAGCTTGCCCATTTGAAACTGTGGCATTGCACTGACAATGGCCCCAGATGAAAACAAAAAAAACGTAAAAATAAATAATGCATGAGGTGTTTTCTGTGTTCTAACTACAGGTTACAACTCTACACTTGACACATGACACAGTTTACAGGAGAAGAGAGACAGAACACACATGTACCTCGACTCAACAAATGAAACAACCAACCAACAAACATCTCCTGGGTTTTTTTGCCAAAATATCTACTAAGATGCAGAACTTATCTACATTGTATGCACATTTTAACAAGTACACATGCACTTACTATTTCCATCAAAGCCTTTCTTCCCATCCATTAAAAAAAGCACACTGAGAACAAGGCACAAAACCCACACATCTCTGACCAAAAAGTTTACTGCAGCCTGTGTTGTTATAGATGGAGAAATCTGTACCACCAGAGAGAGCTGCATCGTGCTACACTGCACACCACTGATGCTGGAAGAATTAATCATTCACAGATCAACAATTGGTTCTTTCATCTCCCTGGCTTTCTCAGATCAGACCATTATGTATTTTTTTCCACCTACTGATCCTGTTACACTCCATTTTTCATGTAGTATGTAGCAAAGACATCTGAAAAACATTCCTATTTCTAGAAGGTACCTCACTGAAGGAAACCAGTGAGAGTACCTATATGCTTCCACGGGATTCACAACTTTACCAGAGTCAAGAAGCGATAGAACATTAAATTCTGCACTGAAATCACAATGTAATAAGCTGTGGAAAAAATGTGGATGGCAAACTGAAGGGCACCAAAGTCCTTCTTTCTGGCTCTCTACCAAAAGCCTCATGGGTTTGTTCAGTGAACAAGCCCATGAGATAGCTGACCTTTTAGCAAGTAAAGTTTTAGGACTAAATACTTCAGCTAATCAAAAACTAAATTGCATGTATACATTAACTCAGCCCACATCTTTAAAATAAAGCTGCATTCTGGCCAGGGCGAACGGCACCACATTCAGTCACGACTAAACCAACAGGAACACGGCTTTTTAAAATATCTCTGCAGAGAAAGAGAGGGCAAGGCAGTATTCACGATGAGCACTGCGCCTCATCATGACAGTAACGGAAGAAAAAGTCACTGGAAGAGGAGGTTGTCATGGGAAACATTTCTCCCACTTTTATCGCTGGCAGGGTTTGTCCTTTAGACGCTCACCCCTGCAGAGGCCTGGCAGGTGACATCCCGGCAGGTGACGCGCGCTCGGCACAGCCAGCCCTGCCAAGGGCGAGGGACGCTCCCCGGGGGCACAGCCGAGCCCGGGTGTCCGAGCCCGCCGGGACTGCCCGTAGTGTCACCTCACGACACTCTGAAGGGCGAAGGGTCTCGGCAGCGCAGAGCCGGGGCTGCACAGCTGCACCCTGCCAGAGGATGCGGCGCGCTGCGAGGATGCTCCCAGCCCCCGCTGCAAGGGTCCCGCACAGCTCTCCCCGGGGACAGCAGCAGCTCCGGAGGCGGAATGTACCGCGGCATCCCCGCCGGGAGCCCCGCGGCCGCGGGGACCAGCGGGACACGGTGCCGGGGCAGCGGGACCGGCCCGGCCCCACCCGCGGGGAGCCGCCGGGGCAGAGCCGAGCCCGCCGCAGGGAGCGGAGCGGAGGGGAGGGAAGGGCTGCGGGGGCTCCCCGGGACGCCCGCCCGCGCTCACCGTCGATGTTCTCCCGGTCGCTGATGTGCTGCAGGTTGCAGCCCGTGTCCTCCCGGCTCAGCTCGGCCTCGGGGCGGTAGGACTCCAGCCGAGAGTGGGCATTCCGGCGCAGCTTGGGGCTGGAGGAGACGCAGCAGGACGTGGTGTTCCCCATCTTCTCTGCCCGGCCCCGGCCTGGCCCGGCCCGGCTCGGGAGGAGGCGAGGGGCGGCCGGTCAGCGGGGGTGGCGGGAAGCCATGGGCGGCAGCGGCGACAAGAGGGAGCGGCGGCGGGGGAGGAGGCGGCGGCTGCGGCGCCCTGCGGCTGCACTCGCCGGCGGTTCCCCCCGGCGGCCCTCCGCGGCAGCGACACCGCAGCAGCAGCAGCGGCGGCGGCAGCAGCAGCCGCCCCGGGCGGCCCCCGCGAACCGGTTCCGGTTCAAGCGGGCGGTGACGCCTCCCGCCGGGCGGGCTGCGGGAGCGGCGGCGGAGCCCGGCTCGGCCGAGGGGCCGCCCCGGCTGCCACTGAGGGAGCCCCCCTGAGCCGCGGCCGCGCTGGCCCCGGGTCCCCGGCCCTCCTCACTCCAGCGTCCCGCACACGGGCACGGACCTCTCGCACAGCCCGGGAGCTCAGCACGCTGGTGCCGGAGGGAACGGGCCCGGGAGTTCTTCGGGACCCCCGAGCTCCTGCCCGCTGCGGGAACCCCGCGGGCCGCCCGGACCTAGGCCGGAGCCCGAGCCTGGCTGGCCCCGCGCCTGCCCCGCCGTGGGGATCCGCATCCCACCGGAGAGACTCACCGGTGTCCCCGAGATTTGTAGGGACTGCAGGAATTCCTTGAGAACTTGTTAAACTCTCCTGTGGACTGACCGTTCCAAAGATAACAGGCCATAGAGCAATGAGAGGGTGTTAAGTGCCCCCTTGTACCACCTTCCCTGTGCTTAGGGCTTTCCCAGTCAAAATCCACTTTTGCCCTGTTCAAAGTACTGTTAAAGATGGGGATGGTGCATGGCTTCATTAGTCTTTTTTGTTGGTGGGTTGTTTTGTTTTTTTTCTAATCTTTGTAATCTAAGCAAATTTCTTGACTGCTGGAGGTCTGAGTCATGGTAGTTGAATGGCTACACTGATAATTTGACAACAGAAAAGCACTTTTCTGTGTTTGTAAAAGATGCTTTGACTTACAGCCCTGTGTCCACGGAGCCATTACTTAATCTATCAGGCATCTCATGATATCTGATGTTTTCACAAGATCTGCTCAAGTCAGATGATTACATGAAAGACTTAAGTTTTTATCCTACTTTTTTTTTTCAGATCACACATTGCAAAGAAAATCAAAATTTAATTTTCAACTGCCTTTTGAATGTTTATTGATACAAATATACTCTAGTGGGATACAAAGGATCAAGATGAAGGAAAAAGATTGTGAGGTTTTTTTCAAAATCGAACTGCTTTGGGGATGTCTTCTGTAAATAGTTTTGGGACACTCTCCTCCCCAGACATGGATGGGCAGTAGATTGGGAGTTATATCAGTAGATTTGGAGTTACATCATCCCTATGTGTTTGAGTAACTCAAGGATAGGTTTAGCATCTTTTTTGTATTGGTGTATTCAGTAGTTTGCATCCAGACAAAAGGGAAGTCTTTGCTGAGCTAGTTTAGAAATGCTCTCTAGGAGGATGTCATGCTAACTAGTGCCTTCCACCACCATGCCATCGCTTGCTGAGGGCACCTCAGCCCCTGCTCTGGAGCTCACCTGCTCTCCAGCTGAGCCTGAGCCTGCTCAGACCAGGCCTGACCTTAACCTGGCAGCAGGGTAGGTTAAATCTGAAACGGGCATAAGCAACACTCAGAAAATCTCAACACAATTTTTAAAGAACCAAATAATCTCAGTATATATAGAACAGAACAGTAAGATGTTACCGAAACACCTGCCTTACCACATCTTACAAGAGGACCTCAAGCCAGGGAGATCTCTGTGGAAGACTTGTCTGACCTGCCCTGTTAAATTCCACCTTCCTGTAAGAATCAGGGACGTGCTCATTTCAACCTGTGTGATGACTCCTAGGCCACCAGTGCCATTTTAAGTACTTTTTGGGTAATGCTAACTGGGCAACTGTTGTCTTGCAGTATCAAGCCCACTACATTTTTTCATAAACATTTCATAACCCCTTATTATTTAGAAACTTGTAACAATTGTAAATGCAGTAAATTGTAAATGCAGTTTATACTTATTCTGCAATTTTCACAAGCTTTGAAACCAAACAGGCCACATAATGATGGAGATGGGTTAATTTGGAAGCTTGCTTTTCTTAATGTGTAAGTAGAGCTTAAGACATCTTCTTTATTGGAAAGGATTGTTTTAAACTTTGTGTTTTAAATAAAACTAATATTATAAAACTAAACATTGTAATTGCTTTAATGTATTTAAAATTTGTGATTATTGGCTGTGACTATGTAATCACTGGATTTATTCACTAGATGTGACTATGTGATCACTAGATGTCTTTATTGGAAAGGATTGTTTTAAACTTTGTGTTTTAAATAAAACTAATATTATATAATTATAATAAAACTAATATAATATATTATATTATAATATAATAACATTGTAATTGCTTTAATGTATTTAAAATTTGTGATTATTGGCTGTGACTATGTAATCACTGGATTTATTCACTAGATGTGACTATGTGATCACTAGATGGATGCCCTTTAAGGTCCCTTCCTACCCAACCCATTCTATATTCTAGCCATAATTCTATTATTCTGTATGGCTACCTTTTTTCTTACTCGCAGTCTTCCATTCTAAATTTTTACCTTTATTCCTCCTCTTTTCACTCTAGGAGCTTGCTGAAGTACATTATAATGACAAAGGTGCTACAATACATATATCAAATCAAAGAAAAGGGATGCTGCTCTAGGGTAATGATCTCCTGCTGGTATGTAAGAGCTGAGAAGAGGTGAAATATATACCATGAAAATATATTTGGGGTTTGATTATGATTATTTCAGCTATCTGAAGTGCATGATGCAAATGTAACTGCATTATTTGATAAATATTCATACAGTAAAGCAGGTACAGCTCACTGTACTTACTGACATGCTTAGATATCAATATATGTCCTTCTCTGATTAGAGATTATTCTGTTAGTGAGATTTACAATTTATGTATTTTAATGAGTTTGCCCTCTGGAGCAACTGCATCAGCTGAGGAACACCACAAAGCTCCCTAAACTAAGGCCAAGGCTTTCATGATTGGTCACTGCTGGCATACCTTTGTTTAAAAAGTGCCTATTCCTGCACAACAATATTTTAAATCTGTAGCATCTCCACTGCACAGAAAACACTCCACTATAGAAAAGACAATGGATTTTAATAGGCTAAAATTAATTATGTGACCCATTACATTTTGTGCTTGAAATCTTCCTGGAACATTGTCAAAAAATGTGTTTCAAACCAGCAGATATAGGTCAGTGTTTTGCTTATATAAGCTTTCTATCTATTTTGAACAGATAAAAATTAAAAGCATTATTTAATCAAAAAGTATTTCCTGCTCACAAACCAAATGATTTGTGAAGCACAGTTTAAAAAATAAAAAAAAAACCCCAAACCCAAAACCTTAACATAGATGAGTGGTGATAACCAGATCTTTTGGTTCTGCTCATCTTTCAAATACAGCCTGAGGAATTTGTGTCACACAATGCCTTCCCCACACCGCCATCTGATGTTTAGTTGGAGTTGTACTCGCAGTTTGGGTGTACAGCCACTCTAAAATGCCATTGTGTCAGTTTTCTCACAGAGCCAGTCATTGTCTGGAGTTTAAGCAAAAGCTTAAAATTAACATTCCCATGTACAAAGTGTTCAGCCTGGTCAACTGAATCATACCCTAGACTTTGTTGATTGTAATAGCTAAATTTTTTTGACAATAGTAATAAATTCCAAATCAGTTAAAACCAGTCATGAACACACCTGAGGAATGTCATTATCCCTCTGACAATTCTTATTGTTAATATTTGCATTTATTGTTACAAGCCTGAATTCAGTAGTATTAGCAGACTTCCTTCCTGAAGGCGAGTTCAGAATGCATGACACTTTTGCTGTCTGGCAAAGCCTTTTACTCTGCTGCTTCTCAAGGGAATGCATTCATGGATCACGTCTTAGATTCCCTCCCACAAGTATTTGCATAAACTGCTCCTATGGCAGATTTCCCCTTTGCTGAAGGTGTTAATTCTTCCAGGACTAAGACAGTATTCTCTTTGAGATAGAAATCCTGCCAGAAGACATCCTTTCAGCCCTGACACAAGTTATCTGCCAGCCCCAACCCTGAGCCATCACCAGAGAGAGGTGGAAGGTTCTGTACATGGCAGACAGCTGCAGCTACTGTTCATAGGAAAGACACCCAGACCTAACAAGGAGTATGTAAGAGATGGGACCTGGTTTAAAAATACAAAAATGGTATCAGTAGAGTTATTCCTCTGGTGAATGGCACACTTGTTTCTCAGGAATCAAGTGCCTTACTGGAACCAGTGAGAAATGGGGAAAGAGTAAATAAAGACTTCTTTTAAAGACCAAGGCAGAAATTGGTGCTATTTGATTAATGCATTCAACTTTAGTGCATAAATTGGGATATTGCCTGTTCTAGGCAAGAATGCAAAGCCCTAAGTCACACTCCTGCTCTGAAGTGTGTGGCAACCAGAGGACTCTGCCTATTACTATATACAGGAGGAAAAAACTGCTTCAAGAAGGAAGGGGATACACCAGAGAACAAGTGTTGGAGTACTGCCCAAAACATAAAAGCCCAGATAAGTGCATACAATCTTATATTACAATCTTTTTATTAGTGCCATGTTTCTCACCAGCTTGAAATCACTGCAGAAAGAGGCAGTTTCCCCACAAGTAGGAGAAAGATTGTTCATGGTTTTAGGGGAAACACTTGAAGAACAACTGTGCTAGAATATTTTAGATATACACACACACACACATACATATATATATGTAACTGTTCTTTTTGGTTTTATTGTTTCTCCAGGGATTGAACAAGATAAGATCTGCACTCAGAAGCAGCCAGAAACCCACGCATTACGCTTTTGGGGGAAGATCACCCACACTGCACAGACGTGCAGTGAGCTTTGGGAGGGAGGAGGCAGTTCAGCAGAGTGTACCATGGATGCCCTTGCATTGTGGAGGAAGGCACAGGCAATTGGATTTAACCAGCTGGGTGGAATTTGATTTGATTAGCTTTGGCACAGTTTCACATACTCTCAATTCATCAGTGAATGGAGTAACTATATTGGAAAGCTGCTGGGGAAAAACAACATTGCCCCTGATGCTACTGTCACAGGCAGATAGAGCACAATCCCATACAGGCTCACTCTGTGTTTTCCTCTCTTCATTGTCTCCCTAGTTAGTTTTTTTGTGCCAGTGTGTGTCTTCCTGTATCAGGATTGGCTGCCTTTTCTTGGTCTGAGATCTTGGCATGTAAAGAGCAGTAATTACTCCATGACTTGACTATGAGCAAGGGTGGGAGTGCCCCCTCTTGAACAATAAAACCCCTTGTAGAGAAAAGCCTAACTAAACAAAACAAAATGTGTAAAACCAGGCAGTGCTGCCACAAAGCACTTTGCTAGCTAGAGAGTCTATATGGAGTATGAATAAGAGCCTACTGTGTTTTAGTCTGTCCTGCCTGTGAAAGATCCCATTCTATAAAGGGGTATGTGTTAGTCTCTTCTTATTTCATACAAGTCTAGGCAAATACAACTTCTTTAGTTTCAATGAAGCTGTGCCTAATCTCCACCAAGAATGAGAACTGAACCATGGCCAGCAATTCAGGACAGCATGTTCATACAAAGCCATCTTCTCTCAGATTCATCTTGAGAAAATAACATCCCCTACTTTTATCAACTGTCAATACCTCATAATTTTGAGTATCAGTTGTGGCAGCTCACAGTTAAAAACATTTTTGTGTATTATGAGCTTACAAGTCCTGTAATATGAGCTAATAAAGGGTAATATGCAAGTGATTGAAGTCTTTTGAAACATGGCTCACCAGAAGATCATGTGTTTATCATGTGTCAGGCTGAGCTCTCTGTATGAAGAAGAATATGAGGGAAGATTATTGCCTTATCTTACAGCTCCCCAGAATACCATCCTTTTAAAGCAGAATAAAAAAGTGTTTTGTTTGAAGGATAGATCTGAAGAAAAGTTACAGGTTTCAGAGACAGGGAATCAAGCTAAATATGGTGAGCTGTACAGATGAATCTCAAGAATTATTCCTGTGAAACACATTCTCAAGCTAAGTTCCCCTAAGTATTAACATCTGTCTTGAGTGAAAATAGACTTTCATCAGTTAATTTTCAAATCAAGAGGTGAAATTAAAAAGTGAGAAAATTCTCAGTATGAAAATTAAGTTGAAGCATCCAAGTTTTCAATAGAAAAGTGTCCAGGCATGGGCCTTTTTGATTTTTAGCAGGGTACTACAATTGTGAATACCTGTAGGAACTCAATTGGAAGTGCAGAGAGGCCAAAAAGCCCCATGTATATGTCTAGAAAGTACAGAAAATGGAAATATGGATCTTAAAGGTAAAGAACCAAAATTTAATTATGTTGATCATTAAACAAATGATCAACAGATATGTAATTTTGAGTGTGTACTTCTTACAGATTTTGTTCTACTTCCTCAGGTCCTATGTGGGATTAGGCAGGACATTTGCCTTTGAAAAACCATGCAAGATTGAAAACTATACATGAAAAGAAGCCAAAATATTTTCTTGTGAATTCTGTCCACCATCAGTGGTTGTTCATATCAATGTTCTTTGAGTAGAAAGGCTACAAAATCAATAAAAGTAATAAAAACATTTTCTCTTTGTATTTCAGAGAATTCTTTCCCTCTCAATGAAAAAGTATCCAGGACATAAACAAGCCTACAGAAATAAAATTGAGGCTTCCATGTCAACATTTAAAAATTTCCCCTCAAATACAGCAAAACCTGGCACAATCCTTAGATTAAGTTTCTGTTGGGGAAAGGGGGGGAAGAAGAAAGTTTTCCTCCTTCAATCAGATGAAACTTGTGGTTTTTGTTATCACATTTTAAACTACAAAACCAGAGAGACAGAACTCATGACTGTTTTATTTTTGAGAATAACCACCCAGAGATTTGCCCACAGTTAAGGAACCCAAATTCATTTTTCTGCTCCATTGCAGACTGTGCAAGGCTTTTGAAAACCACTTAACCCCTATATCTCATTTCCCTTTCAGTGAATGGGCATCATAGAACCTCACTATATGAAAGGGGTTTTTTTAAGACTAAAATCTTTAAAACAGCAAGTTGTTCATGTGCTACAGGGAAGGGGACCAAGTAAATAAAATGGAGAGATTACTCTGTAATCACAGATGTGCTGTCCTCCCATGGTGCTCCTGACATGCACACCAACACTGCAGGATGCAGGCAGTGCCTAGACCATCATTAAATTATTAAATTCTTGTCTGTTGTAATACATTTTTCCACTAGTGTAGCTTATTAACTTTGCTGTCACCATCACTCAACAAGCAGATACATCAGCTGATAGAAAAAATGCCAACGTGAGGATAGCAAGTTCATAGGTTAAAAAAAGTCTTTCCTCTATAAATAGAGTTGGTATAAATCACAAGAGTCTGCAAAATGGGCCTGGGAAAATTAGCTGCTGACCTAAAAACACTTCCTGTTGGCTGTCTGGGAATCCATTTCACACAGTTAAAAGTGACAGGAATTAAAACAGCTAAAGAAGCAGGACTTTATGTTGAAATAAAGAATAAAGTGTCCTAGCAAACATGAAAATAAAACCAAATGCAACTAATAAAAATACAACTATACTCTTGTGCAAGTATTCTAAACAGTCAAAAGGTAAAATGAGCTATACTTTTTAAACTCTTAATGAGGAAATAATTATTATATGTTTTCAGTGTCCTGCAGTCCTTGTGGCAGCTCTGGAATTTCAGCAGCTGACCAGCCAGCAGGCCCCATGACCTGCAGTTGCATGTGGCAATGTGTGGTTAAACAGGGAACTCAGCACAGCCATTTCTGTAGGAAACTGCTGACTAACACTGGGAAGAATCTAGTCAATTTGAATTATACTTCAAATTAAAGAGAATATAATTAATGAAGACATTTTTATCTCAAGCAAGGAACTAGCTTGCTGTTTTTCATTCAGAGTTAATGCTACCCTTCACTGCTGGAGCTCTTCAGCTAACACTTCACCCAAGTGTCCTCTGCTGTCACTCAAAAAATGCCCCTTAGGGAGTGCTTCAGGAAATAAAATGAGTGCATTGAAACAGGTATTTTCTTAGGCCCAGCTCACTGCATCACCAGGTTTATTACAGCACACTTATGTTGTGTTCATGCATGTGACACTTCTGTAACGCCAATTAATTCAGTGATGAGTGTCTCTTTACTTTAAAGCTACTTAAATGGAAATTATTTAGAGACACCAGATTTTTATATTCCAGGAACTTTGAACTGTCACATAATTTGACAATTAAGGTCTAAAGAATACATAAAAGCATATAACAAGATATGACTATAAATTGTAGCCCTCTAGATAAGCTTAGCTCCAAACAGAAAAGAAAGGCCTCCTCAAATTTATTTTGAAAACCAGAAAAATATCTTGTGTAATACAGGACAGAATATCTGTCTATAAGCATATGCCCATTTTCTTCAAATTTTGTAGTAGAACTCCTAAAATTGCAGAATTACCTTTCCACATAAAAAAAATACTTGTTTTTGTAATCTCTCAGTTAAAATAATTTCTAATACTGAGTGAGTTACATGAATTATGAAATTTGGTACAAGATTGCAAAGCAAATTTTCTTCTTTGGAGTGCTTAGGCAACTCAGGTCAGATATTTGCAGCTGCCCCTTAAAGTCTGAAGGCCAAATCTTTGGACTCTAATTATGTATTCAAGCTTACAACGTCTCTAATCTCAATCTTAATTGTCTTTGTCCAAAATAAAGTTGCCAAAGATACATCTCACTGTTTAATACGGTGGATTATCCATAAGCATAATACAGTATTTTGTCTGAGTCTGTTAACTCAGTTGTTCAGATTGAGTTATTTTAAGATTTCACAGCTGGTATAGGATTGCTTATATAGCTAAAATATGTGCCTTGGTAATGGCTAATATTTCTAATCAAATATGTCTTGGTAAAGTGTTTAGGTTCAGGATAAATCACACTGCTGGCCACAGTGTAGCAAACAAAAGGAGAAAAAATTATACATTATGTCATGCAAAATAAATTTTCTATCATTCATCTAGAGCATTAGGGCTTACAGACTCTTTGAGTTAGATCTATACCCTTAATCATGCATAATCCCATTGACAACAGTTTTAAAAAGTGCCAAAAACAAAACAAAAAACCTAAACCAGCTTTGCAGAGCTAAACTTCCCAGAACATCGGCTGGGAGAAGCAAAAATACAACCACTGAGTTAACTGTCTCACTGCAAATGCTCACTCTTCAAGATATCCTGCTTTTAGATGTGCTTAAACTTAATGTACAATTTTGCAGGTGCCATCAAAGCAGTAAATGTGTCAGGGGCCCCTGTAAAATAGTGCATCACTAAAAACTGCATAGTAGAGTCTGTCTCAAGGAGAGTTAAATCACTCTGGCCCAGTGGCTGCAACACTTGAACAAATGTATGAGGATCATTTCACAGAAGGGATTCTTGCCACTCTGAGCTTTGGAGGTAAAGGCCTCCTTTCCAGTGAAAGTAAACAAGGTCCAACAGCCTAAGTTTCACTTGCATCATTGAAAATCTCAGTTTACTACAGATGCATCCAATATGCAGAATGTCTTCCAGATCCTACTAATGGCACACAAAGTCTTTCAAAACAGCCAACACTGAAAGACTCAAAACTGCCCCCCTTTCCTTTCCATGGGACCAGCACATAACCAGAGGAAGGAAAATCCTTGTCTGCAATTCCTTCTCCATGCACATGAGTTGGGAACTTTTTCTGCCCTGATGATAGTTTCCCAATTTTTCTATTCATCTCCTCAAAAACACAAGATATACTGACACTCACTCTGAATCATGTGCTCTCTGTTATAAAACCAGCTGTCCTGATTTCTCACATGCAGGATCATGTCTGTTCCCCTCTGCCCACATTGTTATTTGTATGGCCATACAGGAAGCTCAATCAGCCTGTTCTGCTTGAAGCTAAATCAGGCAAAATTTTCAGCTAGTCTCTAACCCAGCTTACCATGCAATTGTGCTAATGTTATTACTGGCTCAGAAGAAGCAGTGGAAATACATGACTGGGGAAAGACAGGACTGTTTTTCTGGGTCACGGTCTTACTCAAGGGGCTTAAGTGACTGAGACAGCAGCCTAAATTTGGGAATCATCTCCAAGAGTAAATGTATCTCATGAATCCTCCCTATCACTACTCCTATACTGCAGTTGCTTTTGCAGGACATTTCAATGTTTTTTCTAAGATGCTGAAATAAAAACAGGAGAGGATTTTTAATCATGTGAATTTGACTAGTGCCAGACAACTGTAGCTTCAGCAGCTTATCTGAAATCTTCCACTGTGCTGTTGTCTTTGTTTTGGTTATATCATTTGCTTCCACTTCAAGAACCTAGAACATCAGACAGCATTGCTGAGCACAGACCAAGAATCAGAAATATATAATCCAGATGCTAAAACTAGTACTGGCTTTTTATTAACCTGTTACATTTATCTATCATGCTGGAAATAATAATTTGGAATTACCTCATTTCACAAGCACAGTTGCTGGACCTCTGCTGGTGCAATACTTGAAATATATTTTGTAGAAACAGATGCAAAGTTTTCTGCTGTGCCAAAGGAAAATTTAAATTGTAATGTTCTGTCAAAGGAGGAGTTATATATTTTTTGACAAAATAAAAATGTTCATGGAAATGAGAGGCTATATAGCCAAGTGAAACTTAATCTCTTTTCATGCCACTTCTCAAAAATAAAATATTAACAGCTATTGCACAATCACTCACTCAAATTTACCATTAGTTAGACAACATGTGAAAACTGCAAGCTACCTTATTCTACTTCCAAAGTTGTAATGTCATGCTTACTTTTTACATCTTAACTTCTAGGAATCTACTTGAATATAAGAGGAGCTGATAGGGAACATTTAGAAGGATTTTATCTGGCTGTTACCTTCACAAAACCAACAAAAGTATGTTACATCAGGATATAAAAAATTATAATAAATTTGAGATGATTTACCCTTTGAGGAGGGGCCTGCAAATGCAAGGCTCTCTCAGTTCTTCCTAACTTCCTTTGTGATTATAGAGTATTATTTGTATGTGAAGCACTGGCATGGGAGTTCTAGAAAATTAATTTTCACACATTTGGAGAACAATCGTGGCCTGGAAGAATTAAATCTTAACTTCCTTGCAACTGTCTCAAAGTTTACTGAATTCTACCTGAAATAAGAGAAAAATTATTCCTTCATTTCTTGAAGTCTAGGTTAATGGGCAGTTTTAGTTCTGAGCATTTTTGAGATAAAGTTACTTGTGTATTGTTTCATGTAACTCACTAATACTTTTTTTTTATTTACAGAAATATTTCTTTTACCTTTTACTTTACACATCTGCAACTTCAGCTAGAAATATTTTTTTTAGGCAGAGGCCAAAATTTTTTAGATTGTGTCCATGATTTCTAGACCCAGATATGTTCCCATTGGACTAATGCATTGCCCATGTCATCTGCTTGTCATCTCTATGTACATTGATTTTTCACATTTCCTAAAATTTTTCAGCATTGTATATTCATAGCTGTGTATACCAAGTATTCTTGCTTTTTCTTGCCCCTGAAATCTGGGAAATCCTACTTTCTTTTCTCTGTCAAGGCATTCCAGGGACTCTTCATTTTCAAAGGAGGGACACATGCCCCTTTTAGTACCTCTATTTATGCATTTGAGCATCATTTACATCTCTGAAGCTTCTCTCACCTGCAATACATACAGTGATGAGTAGTGGCTGTCTTGGTTATTGTACCCAGTATACTCAAGAAAAAAATTGTCCATTTGCAAGTGTAATTTTGGAATGTCTATAAATGTAACTTAATAGAGAATTCCTACCTCCACTGTCAAGCTTCTGCTGCAGAACTTGGAATCTCCATAAGGCACAGGTTTGCAAACAGCCCTGGGACATAAATCCCAACTCAGGCATATCCCAATCCTTTCCTGTATGCATGGGAGTCCACCATCTCCAGTCTTCATCCTGTTTTTAGGGCAGATCTCTGGGGAATACACACTTAAAATGAACTTTGTCTCATTTCTGTACTTAGCTAACAAGACTGTCATGGTTTCAGCCCAACCAGCAGCTCCACACAGCTTTATATGCAGAAAGGCACCCTGTGGAGTGCTGGTATCAGCATGTGGAAACGCCTTCAGTCAGCTGGGGTCAGCTTCTTGTGCCACCCCAGCCTCCTCACAAGAAGCAGGAAAGGCCTCAATGCTGTATCAGCACTGCTCAGCAATAGGTGAAACATCTCTGTGTTATCAGCACCGCTCTCAGCACAAGCCTGAGGCACAGCCACATACCAGTTACTGTGAAGAAAATTAACTCTACCCCAGCCAAAACCACCACAAAGTCAAAGAAAGCAAAATTAAGTCACTCCTACAAAGTAAAAATGCATTTTTTACAAATAACTAACAGAATACAAACCCTCAGTGGTACTAGACCTTATCTGACTGTAGAACAAGTGGATTAAAACACTAAGCCTGAATAAACACAAACCCAGTTCTCTAATGAGGCTTGAAACAGAAAGGTTGCACAACTGGGATTCCATTTTTTCAGATTGTATCACTACACAAGAGCTGTTTTCAGCTCAAGCATCTGCACAATAAAGCTGTGCTGTCTTCACTAACCACCCAACTCAGCAGAGCTCCAATGTGATTTACAGAATTTCCTTTGCAAGACTATCATCCCCAAGCACTGGACAAGAAGCTTAGGCAACAGACTGAAGTATCAAGATTTTACTACTGGTGGAGTAGTTAGACCTTCTTCCTTATCCTTATTCCTTGTTGGCTATAGTAGAAATAGGAATTAGGTTAAAGGTTTAAAGATTTGAGATTCTGAAGTCACAGAAGTAAACATCACAATGAGAGATGCATTATGCCATTAACTAAGCATTTCCAAACACACATTTACTCCAAGCTCCAAGCATTTAATGTATGTTGTACAGAGAAGTGCATGTGAGATATTCTGTTCTGCTCATTCCCTTATTTTGAAATGCATTTTAATTGCTTAGTCCTGTTCCTTCATCCATGGGGAATATAGGAATTACCATACAGGAGCAGGCACTCTAACCACCTTCTTCTCTTCTTGTGTTATGGGTATCATGGATAAAAGTTAAATGGCATTTGTGGTATCAGAACAGCTCCCAACAAAAGGGTACCCTGCTCACCTCATTTCCTACTTTCCAGAATTCATTTTATGAAAAGCTATAAACAGATGGCATTTTCATCACACCCACTGGTCTTTTCAGATCAGAAGAGACCAGTGGAACATATCACAGGGAACTTCAGTGTTGTTCTAATCCTTCTGGGGTTTCACACTCCTGGGCTGTCAAGAAAGAAGCCTTCACTGATGTTTTATGCTTGATTTGAGTTTAGGGATTTTTTTTCTTTTTACTATAAGAAAAAAGATGAGACATTACTCCAGTGCAAACCAAGTATTTTTAGCCAGCCATAGCAGGAGGCAAGTGCCTTCATCACTAATCAATTTCCTTTATATAATAAAGGGAAAAACACTGCTAAAGAAAGTATCGAGGTACTGATGGGTTGCCAGAAGAGACTAACTCAGTATCTGTGGGATTTTCTGAGAAAGGAATATACATCTCTATCTCTATTTTGGCAAATAAGGATCTCAGTTTTGCAACTCTTTATGGCACTGTTATTTTCACCATTGATCTGAGTATCCTGAAGTCTATAGTTAGTGCACATATGTGTTGGAACCCTATTACATATGCAATTTAACTATATGGACCAAAAAACCCACACATATTTAGGGATAACTATTTTAGTCCTATTTCAACAAGCTGGTCTGTTGAATTAAAGTTAAAAACCTTTGCTGTCCTACCTCCTAATGCAAATCAATTTACATAAAGAGAATGGTGAGGTGCACAGAAACTGCAAGAGCTTAAGGCAACCACTGGTTTCCAGATGGGATGGAATGGGTCAGGTATAGAGAACTGGAGAAGCAAGATCCATAACAGCTCTGTAAATCAGGATTTTTTGGTGAGGTACTGGTAAGACTAAAAGCATAAATACAGGACAAAAAATAGGTTTCTGTCAGCACAGAGACCTAATCACATATGTCCTAAAGCTGTCAGCATCAGTGGCACATGGTACTGCAAGTGAAGACAAAAATATCTTCAAACATTTTCAGATATGCACTGATTATTAATTTATGTTGCTCATCTGAATAACATAACTTTTGAAGTTGACATCAGGAACCCACATAAACTAAATAACTATCTAGGTTAGACTAGAAATTTGGGTCGGGGAACTTTATTGCAATACACAATTTGTACAGTGTTCAAATTTAAACCTCCCTAACAAAGAAAAAGAAAAATCTTGTGAAGAATTTTGAGTTTTTAATCTGAGACTGTTTCACAAGTAACAATAAATTCTCATTTACATAACAATGTTGAAAATTAACTATTGACAAAAATCCAACAAATTTTAACAAAATAGCTCCACAACACTTTATAATATCCTCCTGGGATTGTGTATTTTTAATTCCAAGTGAATAGATGACTCATTACTAAGAGTTGCAGAGGCACACATTAGCTTAAGCCCTTCTTGTATCCTTATGCAATTGTTCAGCTCTGTAAATATCTGTAAAATATTTCTACAATACATTCAAAAGATTAGGAACTACTCAGAAATAACTTTTTACTTAATGCTAAATAAGTTAAAATATACTACCTGATAAGGAAGAGTGAAGAGAAACAAAATAACCCTTATCTAGTATTAAATGGTCATGGATATCTCTGTACTTCAAGCTTAATTATAGCCAAATTCACCAAAATAGAAATATTAAGGAGAACATGATATTTGACTAAGCATACTGCAACAAGGCCAGATTTTGCCAAAGTCAAGGTTTTGCTGTTTAAGATGGGATGTGAATGAACTTGGATATTTCAGTCTTAAGAGCTCCTGACATGGCTACAGTTTTGCTCCTGTTAACAATTTTTTCAGTGCTCACAAAGCTGCTGCTTACACTTAACCTACCCTGAATGCCTAACACAACCTGATACCATCAGGGTCTTCAGTTAGTTTCAAAGCTGCAAAACCTACTTCATACTTTCAGATCAAGCTTGACATATGAAGCCAACAAAACTATTACTACCCTTTAAAATTACATAATCCATGCCTGGGATGTTCATGGCACATCTTCTATGGCACAGAATCAGGATCACTGTCCCGGATGTGTAGGCTGTATCCAATTCCTCCTCTGCCAAAGAACTTTCAATCTCACCTCTCCTGGGAAGTCTTCAGCTACCATGCTGGTCATGGTTTGCTGTCTGTACACCATTACGCTGATAATACCATCTCCCCTTCCTTACCACAGTTGCTTCTCTGAGGACTTTTTCTTTAAGATAAAAGTTAATCTGTCTTGGGAAGGATCGGGAATTTGTAACATTGGGGCTGGGTGTATCTTGCTTAACTGCAATCAAAAAAACCAGCCCTCTGTTCCTAGCTCCCCTCTGAACTGTTTGTTAGTTTAGTGGAAGGAAAGGGACTTCAGCAAGAGCAAATAACTCCACCCTCAGAGTTATGGACTGCACTACGGAAAGGCTGCCTGCCATCCCACTGAAATACAGAACTAGTCTACAGAGAAATACCTGGAGTTCAGATTATCACTGTTAGGCAAGACAAGAAGTATCACTTCAAGCAATTAAGAGTTAACTTATCCAGGAATCAGGAGATGGACTGTCTATACCTACTTCTATGAACTTCTCTTTTTAATGTAAGCAGTCATGTATTGTGTACTTGTACACACTGAGAGATCCAATTACCAGATTTGGGACCAGATATCTAAAGTCTAGACGTGCAACAATTTACTGGACCATTCAGTATCTGGTCCTTAACACAGGGCTATTTCCCATAGCAGGTTCACAAATGCCATTGCAGTTCTCCTGGTACCATCAACGTGGGATGCTCTTCAAGGTTTTCACCCTCTAGCACTTCTGCAGTGATGAGGCACAATAAAATCTGCAGGCCAAGTTCTGACTGTGCACCAACTCTGCTCTTCAGGCAGGTCTGCTCCTCTCATCCCTGGACATACTCAGCTTCACAAACTTTGAAGGAGAACCAGCTGTAGCACTCCAGACTCATTTTGTACCACTGCTACTGAGTACTGAGCTAAGACAGTAGGCACAACTACTTTTTCCAGCCCCCTTTTTGCAGTATATTCCTTAATTTTGCCTGTTTTCTGCTGTTTGTTTTTCTTGTTGTTTGTTTGTTTGCTTGCTTTTGTTTCTTGGGAGGGTTTTTTTGTGAGGTTTTTGGGGATTTTTTGTTTTGTTTTGGTTTTGTTTTGTTTTTTTTGTGGGGAGGGTTTTGTAGCTTATATGCTACAAGGTCTAGTTATGCTTTCTGCTACAATTATTGACGGACTTGAGCAAACAAAACAAAACCTGCTGATCTGGCCTGAAGTTCATACTGATGTCATATCAGCTACACTCCCTGTATTTTTTAGTATCTTTCATCCTACTTTATGTTGCTAAAGAATCAAAGCAGATTAATTCATTAGGAATAAAATCTTTAACCACATTTAAAATCTATTTAGCCACTGTCCTTATGATCCTATTCATTTGACAGGCTTATTTCCTTATCAAGTATGTATTTTAAAACAAAGCTGCTGTCCAGACACCACTTCTCTACATTATTGCAAAGTTAATGTTGTATTTTAATAGGATTATTTTATATCAGGAATTCCATTTAGTGTATTTCATTTTGCTGGGCATCTGTCCAAGATCCCAGATAACTAATCTTTAAAAAGTGACCTACATACTTAATCATTGTCCCGTTCATAAGTGACACTAATTGACTCATATTTTCTGTTTTATCTATACACCATTTCTCTCATGCAATTGCATAAATCCTTGTACTTTTGTAATTTTTTTTTATTTATGAAGATTTTTCCAAGAGTAATTCAGACAGACAAGACTACCCCATATCCTAACCAAAATTTATGTGGACATTGTTAATCATGCTTTCCTTTGTCCTAAATATAGTCTTTCTGCAGTGCATAATGAAGCCATGAAAGCAGTAGGTTCATTTACTTACAATTTCAGCAGAGGCAGGCATAAGAATCAGATTTGTTACATAATCTGCTGTAAACTAATTCTTTCAGATTCTTTAGACTGGCTGGACAGCTATATTTTGTATTTTCAAAACCTTTACAGGGGACAGAGGAATACGTGAGGAAATGCTTTGGCCAGATATAAAGTTTGTTATCAAACTTCAGAGTAGAGCTTTGATGATTTTATTATGGGAGCACCTTCTTCTTGCTTGAAGGAAGCATTTCCTTCCTTCAAGTTTTAGCATATGCCTTTATTTTTCCTTGGAACACTTGAAAAAGCTCTTGGACATTTCTATAGCTGTTCCCTTAGTGTTAAGTGTGCATTAAAAAGAATTACAAGTTGCCTTGCCACAGGTGGAAGCTGACCATCTTGCTAGAGAAAAATTCAAACTTGAACTTTGTTACCTAGAGGCACCTAGGCTCTGCTAGAAGAGTCATACTCTGAGAAAAAAACGTTGAAAAACAAACTAAAAGGAGTCAATAAAAAGTGATACTTCCAGAAATACTAATAACTTGAGCAAGTTCTCTTACATGTGATTTTGGGCAAATGAGCAGTAGAGAGCAGAGGTTCTGTTGTCAGTCATTTACAAAGGAGATCTGGTAGAAATGTATCTCTAGAGAGGCCTCAGGTCTGCATATTTGCACAAGTGCATATTTGCTGCTGAGCATACTTGCATGAGTTGTTTCTGTTCTCCACTCATACCTTCCAAGCTGCACAATGAGACCTCTGCTGTTCATACAAGTGTGCAGCTGGGTTATGAGAGCAAATCCATTTCTGATCCTTAGGGAGCTAATGGCAAAGTGGGAGACCAAACAGAGCACCTAAGGATTTCCAGAGCTAAAATAGTGGCTAAAGAAATGCAACATTTATTTATTTCATTCTTGAAAGTAAAGTGGTGTGAGGGTGAGTATAAACTGGAAATAGGACTTCGTGAAACCAACTGATCTACTCAAACAGCATGAACTAATATTAAATGTTGTTTGAGCATAATGTTTGTCACCTCAGGAATGCTGTAGTCTGGGGAAGACATACACTAACACTGGCCAAAACAACTACACTGAAAATAGCTGGGACAGCAAACCAGTTTTATAAGCTTTGCAGTCATATACTACAGTGAAAGTGGACACTGACCCTCTTCAGACTGTCTCTGTCATACCACAAACTTAACTGTTACCAAGTTAACATTTTGGACTGGGAAAAAAAATTGTATGGCATTAGTAACTAATAATTATATAAATATTTATAACTATGTAAATATTTTAATGTAATCTCTTAATAACAACAGTTCCCAAACCACATATCTTTTCACTTTTCACAGAACAGGCCTATAAACTTACCATATGCAAATGCATTTGTTGCTCTAGATCTTGACATCACATCTCATGCATTTGGCTAATTCTCTTGAAAGAGTCAAAAAAAATTCTGTTTAGGTGCTCAGTTCATCCACTTCACAGGTGCTGTGGAAAAATTCACATATGAACTATCCACATGGTCACTTGCAGACACATCTATGGGGGACAGAACGCTGTATAGTCACGGCTGTTATGGAGAACTGTGCAATTTGTTAGAAAAGTAGAATCTATTTATCCTGAAGAATGATTTTCTTCATGACTTTGCCTTTACCTTTTCCTGTGTTCTACATTCCCCTTTTTTACTTCCCCCTTCCATTTCCAGAATGATATTCCCATATGCCAGAATTAAAATTGCATTATTTCATTTTCCCTTCACATCATTACATCTCAAATGATACTTAGGTTTTTTAGTGTATTTAATTTCTGTGATCTAGAACTAATAACTACTGTACTTCAATAGCAGTATTTGTAATAGCATTTAGATAAATCCTATTATTATTATTATAAATCAAAATTAAATCATTCCCATTTTGTCTTTGATTAAATGGGACTATTGGTCAGAAAGACTATAAATCGAAAAACTGTCAATATAATTTTTTCCTTCTTGAAAGGGTATCAAATTCAAAATCACTTATTTCTAAATATGTATTAACACAGGAACAGCAAGAAAAATGAGTTTCTGTCCTCAACAGCCACAGAACACCCCACCCCCCAGATCTCCCCCATAGGATACAAGAAATTCTCTACTTTTGGCACATCCTTTGGCTGCTTTATCAGTTTGAAAATAAAGTGCAGACATTTACACTCCACAAGGTGTCACTCTAAAACAACCGGAAAAAAATTGTGTCTTTTTTGCTTTGAACTTTACCCAGAAGGTCAGAAATTACCAGCATTTCAAATTTAAGACTGAATTACCAGATTCTACTCAGAGCTACTACAATGTAACACTACAGGCAGTAGGTATTTCTTCTTGCAAACAGTGTATTTCAAAACCAGTCTATTTTTAACATATTTGCCTAGCTGAAGAGTAGGAAAAAGAAAAAAAAAAAAGAAAGCGTGTCAGTAACTGTTTCAATTTGGGGGAGCATCCAGCAAGTATTTTATCAGGATACATTGCATTGTCCTTTATTCAACTACCACTGGCTCGTTGAAGACACAGAAAACAACGTCAGACCCAACAGCTTAGGTCTGCAAGGTATTCAAGCTTTTTAATAAAATACATTTTGTCTATAAACAAATTGTCCTTTAAAACAAATATATTATAATCTACAGACATTCAAATATCCTCCAAAAAATACAAACAGTTGTCATCAACAAAAGCTCACTTTCTATAGTTCACGGGCAATCAGTGAATTAATTCTCTGTAATCTAATAGGAGAGAATTCCCAGAAAGTTTTCTTGAATCTAAAAAAACTTACATTCCAACTTCTCCTGTACTAAGTCCATGCCTTCATGGCTAACTACCTATTTTCATGAACGTTTGAGAGATCTTTGACACATCTATGAACTTTAATTGCTGTTGACCACCAGGTTCAAAACATACTAGAAGAAATGCGATACAAACATGAGCAACTGTCATTTCACGGGAAACAATATCAGTATTTCAGGAAAATTAAAATCATCAAGGAAAAAGAACAAAGAATGTATGGAACAGGTCTGATAGTGTGAGGGAGGGAGCTGTAGGTAAAAATTTACACAAGATACAACAAAAGAAAGTGGAACTAACTGATTTTGAAATGCTGACACTTTTCATCCTGTGCTCAATACTGCAGAGCTCTGATCCCTACATAGACCAATGGGGCTTTTGCACAAAAAACAATGAAATTAAAAAATAATCCCACATCCAAACTTACCATACCTGCTTTTGTTACACTCTGTAACAGCACTGTTTTCAAACACTTTGTTCAGTCTATCCTTACTTTTCTTGTTTTTCTGTGGCTGTATTTCATTTAGGACCATTTCCAATAGACACTTCAGAAAAGCTAATTAGATCGGGCCTCAAATGAGAGAAAAAGAACAATGTCTGCTTTGAAGATCTCAACAGATTTGGGCCGCTCACTTGTCATGAAAGCTGCAGCTCCCGGCCCATGTCTGGATCTTTGAAGTAACTGACAACTTCACTGGCAAAAATGCAGAGGTGTCAAGGATTTCAGCTTTTTTTTTTTTGTTTGTATGCCAACTGACAAACCTCAGAAAGCTTTTAGTTCATGCAACCAGGATCTTGGAGAATCTAGTTCTTCAGAATCAACTTCATCAAGAAAAACACCTCAGTATGCATTAAACTTAAAAATGTGTTTGCAGTTCTCTCACTTCTGTAAGAATTAATGGAAGCTAGAAATGTGATAAATACTTTCCTCAGGAGAAAAAAAATCCTTAAGAGAACTATTTTAGAAACAACAGACCGAACATGGTCCAGACCAAGCTTGTTAAACAACTCTGCATCAGCTTTTACCTGGTGTGATTACAACCCCATTGGGAAGTGGTGGAGAGGACAATCATGAAAATGAGAATATTAAGAGCCTCATTCAAGGTTGTTTGGAAATCATATTTTTGAAGCCAGAAAACGAAAACAATGACTTGGCTAGATAACCAGATTTCTGAATTGTGACATTTTTATAGACATAATTCCATTCACAAGATGTATTAATCACACCTGATTTCACTGACAAAGGCTAGTAAAAGAGAGGAAAAAGCTCAGCAGTTACCATAACAAAGACACTTCCTTCACTGTTTTTTCCATTCAAGTCACACAGAATACAATGAAGTATTTTTTCCTTAGTCTACATGCAGCACTCAACTCACACACTACTCTCAGACTTTGTGCATATTGCTTTTGCTTCATTCAGTATTGAACAAGCCTGTTGCAAGAAGGAAGTTCTAACTCAGAATTAAGAAAAAAATAGAAACCTGAGAAAGTAGAGTAAAAATTCATCAGACTCAGAAGAATAAACTTATTTTTGCTACCCCCCCATTTCCAGCTGGCATGACAGAATATCAAATTGCTCTAGAATTTTCCTAAATTATTTTCCTCAGTTATTAAATCAAGCAAATACTAGAACACTTTTGCTGGAATAATGACATCACTGTTAGTCTCATCCACAAGGGCCTCATAGTGCCTTAAAAAAATCTCCAAAAAAAATAGACCCCCCTCCCCATATGACAATATTTTCTACAGAAAGGCTCACAACCAAAAGACAGTTACTTCTGTCAGCTGCTTAACAGCTCAGCACTCAAAACAGTCTTGCCTTGTACACACCCACACACTAAATACCACGGGAAACAGGAAAAAACTGTGGACAAAATGAGTCAATCCAAACCAGAAGCTAAGCAGACCCCTTAGTTTTCTTTGAAGTGATATTTAATTCAGAAAAAAAATCACACTGAATTTAGCTATTACACTGATGTCTGCAGGGTACCAGTACAGATCAGCAATTATGTGTGACAAGAACAGAAGGAAAAACCAAGTAGGAGACAATTTGCACTCCTCAGGACTGTATCAGTGCAGCCAAAAAAAAGAATAATTTGCAATTATTCTTGCAAACAGCAAAATCTGTGGGAATAACAATCAAAAAGTCCTGTCAAAGAAACTAAATCCACACCTACTCACACAATATACTTATTTTAATCCCTTTCTTCACTGGCCAAAACAGCTGAGGCTGTTTTAGAGAGTCAAGAGAGATCTGTCTGGAGAGTCTATAGAGATTTCTCTTTGCACATCTGCCTAAAGAGGGAAACAGCTATGACTCAAAGCTGTACCTTAAGAGGAAGCTGACTATTACATTCCTCATCACCCACAAGGCTAGGAAGCTGAAGACATCTTACAAGAGACTATTTTACCTGAGCTATATGAAAACCTATTTTGTAAAAACAATTTTAAATCCATGCAGGCCTGTGTACACACACTTTCCCTCAAAGACCAATCCTCCAGCTGTCTCTCTTAAAGAAATTTGCAGTTGTGTGGTTTCAGCAAGAAAGGAGTTTCATATCATACAAATGCAATTTTCTAACAGGAAGGAAAAAAAATACGTTTTTTTGGCCTTTTTTCCTGATAGTGGAAAAACAAAATTCTTGGCTCTGCCAAATCAAAGCTTGGGCAGCGTTCAAATTCTCTTGTAATAAACCAACTCAGATTCACTTGATGTTTCTATATAAAGAATACTATTGCATTGAAAAGGCCTTTTTCCTGCACCACATCCATCAGTGCTTCAGTGTGTGCTGCTGCCCCAAAGGCTGAGTCCATCCTGGGCTGCATCCAACGCAGGGTGGGCAGCAGGTGAGGGAGAGGATTCTGCCTCTTCACTCTGCTCTGGCAGGACCCCACCTGCAGTGCTGCATGCAGCTCTGGGGGCCCCAGCACAGGAAAACCATGGACCTGTCAGAGCAGGTTTGCTGGAGCACCACAAACATCATCACAGGGTAGGAGTGCCTCTCCAGTGAAAACCGCCTGAGATGGCTGGGCGATTTCATCCTGGAGAAAAGAAAGCTCCAGGGAGACCTCACTAACTCTTTCAGTACTTACAGGAGGCTTACAGGAAAGAAGGAGAGAACTTTTTACACAGGTAGACAATGACAGGACAAGGGGCAATGGTTATAAAGAAAAGAGGAGAGATTCACATTAGGAATGAATTCTTTGTTCAGAGATTAGCATTCAACTAGTATCTCAGTGAAGATGTGGTTGCCCCATCTCTGGAAGTGTTCAAGGCCAGGCTGGATGGAGCTCTAAGCAACATGATTTAGTAGTGAATGTCATCCCTGCCCATGACATGGGGGTTTAGAACTAGATGATCTTTAAGGTTCCTTCCAACCCAAACCATTCTATGACTCTACTAGTAAAGAAATGAGTATAAACTACACATATGTGGAATAGACAACGATTCTTCCTCCCATCAAATTTCTAACTGTAGTTAGTACCAGACACTATTGTGAAGATAAAGGGGACTTTTCACTGGAGACATATCTGCCACACACACACAAGTTTCTCTCTATTTAAGTTTCCAAATCCCTTGTGAGTCAAAAGCAATGCCTACCTGCAACAGAAAACAGACTAACGACAGAGCCACAACAAACAACTTGCTTGTTGCACTACAGAGGCTGCAACATGGACCTGCAGATTGCATTCATCCTGTCCAACCTGAACAGAACCTTTGACTTCTGCTGACCTCAGCAGTTCAGATTTTCACAGTGAAGAAGATATTTCAAAGTTTAAATTACTTTTGTTTCAAACCTGCATCAGAGTCTTAGAGGCCAGAGGTATCTTTTTACCTCCTTAAATCAACTGATGTGGCTGCAGGAAGTGAGAGAGAATACCTCTTCTTACAAATGGTGTCACTTAGGAAACCTAGTGGGATTTTAAAAATATTCAAGAAAATTATTCAGTGTATTTCAAGTAATTTAGGAAAGAATAAAAAAATCATATACATAAATCAACCCACCCCAACAGAGTGAAGAGGGTTAAATGCAAATTAAGTTTAAATTAAATTAGGAAGTCTCAGTGACTTCAGTATGATTCCATCCCTCCTCCCCTTCCATACACTCACTCTCTTAAATTAAATTAGGAAGTCTCAGTGACTTCAGTATGATTCCATCCCTCCTCCCCTTCCATACACTCTCTCACACACACACACACCCTCAGTAAAGCCAATTAAGTAGGAAACAGGCCTCTCTTCCTACCACATCAGTAAGGCCATTAGCTCCAGCAAAGCTCCCAAATACTCTACCCATAGACTGTACTGGCCAAACAATTAGATCACTCCTGAATTAAAAAAGTACCCAGAAGCAACTTTGCATATACACTAGTTTTTTCAAAGCACAATGGAAAGTTGGCACATGCTGCATTTACGAGAGCTGTAATCTGGTTTAAACATGGGTTTATTTTAAAAATCTTCAGCTCTCATCTGTAGGCTACTGCAGAACTCAGCAAATCAGCACAGAGTTACTTATTGGAAAGCTTCCTTCCTTAGGACACCTTGACCACCATTCAGTAGTTTGCTGAAATAGTGAAAAGAACTGCACCATCAATCTTCACTACAGGCAACTATTGATGGGTGTACAGGATGTAGAATGTGCAGTATTTAGGATGAACATTTAAATTTTGATATATAGACCTCCAGTGAATCAAATATTCTGAAGATTACAGAAAATTTAAGTAAATAGCAGCCATATAACAGAGAGCTTCTTACAGGTATTTACAATATATTTAGCATCATGTCATAAGCTTAGGTGTGCTTTTTTCCCTTTGTCTTCTTCCAGATACTCATGGATTTTAAAGCATCTCAACCAGGTTTGTCAAGGAAATCAGACACTAGACAGGTTAAACAACATGGTTCTATTAAAAACTATCTTTAACCATGGCACTCAGTGACAGCAATACAATACTTTTTTTCCACAAAGCAACTAATATAAAAATATGTCATAAAATCATCTGTAGACTAGTATGCTAGTACATACATATAATCATAACATTCTTTTATAAACTCTTTCCTGAGATACCTTGGGTTGTTTGATTTTCTGGTATTACTGGTTGCATTATCTTTATAATTCATCTAAAACAATTGCAAAATATTTTGAATGTGCAGGACACTCAGTAACATGTAAAAAGTAATTTGTAAATATATGGCAAAAAACCAGCTCTTAGAAATTATGCACTTTTTTACTTTGTTATATTTTTTAACATTTGGCTCCTTGGGAGACAGAAGGATGGTGCATGAAAAACTTAAAATTAGAGCTATGAATTGACAAAAAGCAGGAAAGCATTCAGGAATGTTAGGAGTTGGAATATATTATAAATGACACAAAGAGAAAGCCGTAAGTCATGTTGGCTATGTATTGTCTTACAAAGCAACTGGACATATCTTAGTTCACAGTATAATAAATATTTTTACTAATCTGTTTTGGAAGAGCAAATGTCTTTTAGGGTTTCAAGCTCCTGTATAAGTTTCTTGTTCTGAACTTCTAGCACTGCAACACGACTCTCCAGACATTTTATGTATTCTTTCTTCCGACGTCGACATTCTTTAGCAGCTTCCCTGCAAAAAGCAGAAGTAAAAAGTGCAAACAAAAAAGCCATTTGCATGCCATTAGAAAGCTCAGCAGAGTATGGAGACTATGACAGAATTCCAAATTTTGGAATATCTCCCAAATCAGTCTGAAAATACTAAGCAAAACTGGGTTCCACAAGGGCCTCAAGTGTCTCTTTCTCAAGTTCATATGGCAATCTGTAGAATTGCTTCCTCTCATGCCTTGATTAAAGTTCATAATAAAGGAGGTCCAAATGAAAGACAGTTATTCTGCTTTATGACAATAAAGATCTTTGAGGGCCTTGAGTTCCTCAATGAGAGTCTTGTTTTGGTTTTCAAGCACAGCCACACGATTTTCAAGACATTTGACATATTCTTTCTTCTTTCTGCGACATTCTCTGGCAGCTTCCCTGGAACCAATACAAGGCAAATGACTACAGGAACAGCCACAATATGGCAAAGACTGGATAAATGCAATTACCTGCAATCCCTGTGGTTCCACAATAACAACAACCATCACCAACAACTGCTGGATTGCACAAACAGAACATCGGATAACAGCCAAAAGCAGCAACATAGTTAAAATATAATCCAAAACATCTAGAACTTGAAACGCATCCAGCATCACCAAATACAAAGATGGAACCAATACACAGAAGAATTGAGAAAAACAGGGAGTAAATGATGATGTATTGACTTGAGTCGTACTAAACATTAGGATGGAAAGCAGCATTTCTTCTTCCAGTCACATTCTACTTTGTGTGTTTATCGGGAGCATTGTCTTCTGCCATCAAAATCTTAAAACCAAACCCAGAGAATATACTTTCAGAAAAACACAAATATAACACTACTCTCTTCAGATAAAAAACTAGATGCCAGGCTTATATGAAGATAAAAACTTACACCATGTTGTAACCATTACAGTACAATTTAAGCCCAAACAAATACAATTTATTAGCATTTCAGAACTGGCTGCCTGACAGAACTGGCTGCCTGAGCACATTTCAGCCACATGAGTCTGTGGTTTTTGTTGCTGGCAAATGATAGCCTGAAGCCATTTTTGTAGTTCTGCTCAAAAGTCTCTAGTATTTGAGCCAAACACTTTGGCTAGTGTGTTCAGAAGCATGTGACTAAACAAGCATTCAATTCCAGAAGAAATATTAGACATACTGGGAGTCCTTCTTTACCACCTTGGAACATGATAAACTATCAAATTGTGAGAGGCTAACATTCCAGCAACTTAAGAGCTATAGCATAGGCACTAGTTTTAAAACTGAAGAGAGAAGAAACAAAAAGGAGGCACAACAATGCAGTGATCCTCGTAAGTAATTTATAAAGGACAGGCATGAGAGCAAAGCAATACCATTAATTCAATTATAAGACAAGTGGCTAAGCAGTGTATTAGAGATCTGCAGAGCAGACTATTTCTACTATTAATCTGTCAGTGACAGAGGTGGCTACACATTTTAAAAAGACAGACTCCCCTAGGAACAGCAAGAAGAATGCACAGAGAAAGACTGACATTTACAACATTCAGTCAAGTCCATGAAAACTAATTAAAAAATATACAGCAACTTCACACAATATGCCTCACAAAATGACAGGGGCAAAGTATCTCATCCCAGCAGCCAAGTATTTAGCAAAGTCTATAATTATCATTCCATCTTTGAATAAGTCCTCTTCAAAGCATCATTAATGGACAGCTGCTAATGAGATCCTCAGCTATTTTCCTAAACAATTCTTTGCTGTGATGCTTTAAAATGAAAAAGGCCCTATTGGTCATTTTACTGTCACTAGTGGGAGAGGACAGGAAGTAAAATTCAACACAAAGTGTAACTCTGGATTATCACAAAAATTATCTGATACTGATTTCTGAATCACCTAATATTTTCAAACTAAAAATCCATGGGTATAAGGTCAACTCTAATCTTCCAGAGTTAACAAGCAATACTTTATGCTAGAAGGACAGGGGATGACTGACAAAGAATTTCCTGCCTTCCCTTCATCAATTACAGGCAGTGCTCATGACCTTAAGAAGAAAACTTTGTTATAATGTTTGTGGGGGAGGGGAGTGGTTTGCAGCACTGACTATGTATTATTATATAGTCTTACCTATTTTTCAAAAGTCTCAGCTCTCTCTTGCGTGTTGCCTCTTCTGCCATTTGCTGAGGGCTGTGCAAAGTCCCTGGCGAGGCTGCCATAACCACTCCCTGAGGTAAGGTAGTAGTGGGAGTTCGAATCTGGTAAGCTGGCATGTCTCCAGTGGCAGCTGTACAAAATAAACATATTTTAAAATGTATGGCAAAAAAAGAGGTACATCTGAAAATAACAGATTTCTTACAATGATTTATCCAGGATCCCACATAAATTGTTTCACAGGTCTGTAATGACACAATAGTATTTTTTATCTTAATAGTGTTTCTTTCCACACTGTCAAGTGTCTGAATTGCTCTAGCATGTGGGCCCAGTAGCCAGCCGGACTGAAAGCTTCCACATGGCTCTCTTCAGACAACATGGGGAAAGCAGACTGAGACACAGCTCAAGCAGTGACACTTACTTCCTGTTTGCACAATCCCACAAAAAGAGGGTACTGTTGTTGCAGCCACTGAGTTTTATATGCTACCCTGTTCTCCCTGTACAGAACTCAATTTGCTTCAGAAGACAACTTTCTCCTCCTTCCTTGTGATAGCAACAGTACCAGCTGTACAGCTTGGCAACCCTTGGGTAATGAGTGAGAGCTGCTGGTAGGAAAAGGAACAGAGAAGTGCTCAGGACATACAGGCATTTGTTCCCTGGGCAAGAGGAGCACACATGGAATGCTGCAGCATTAGCAAGCAACAGGAGGCAGGGGCAGTTGCACAGGAAGGAGTGTAGCTGCACAGTACATCAGAGGGCAAGAGTTCAGATTCAGCCCTAAGCTTATCAGTTTTGTGCTCTCCCCAAACCAAATGCTGATCTGACGTGACTTGAAACCAACACCTTTTTTACAGTCTCACGTCATTTCTTTGTTTCAGATGTACTTGCCCCTACATGACGTACCTCAACTTAAAAACACTGGGGAAGTCCTAAGTACTTGTGTCTTGTCCGACAGAAAACAAAACCAAACAAAAAATATATTCCTCTTTACATTCTAAGCAAGTATTTACCTATTTCTTTCCATAAATATTTTATATTATGATAGAACAAAAATTCAAATTTTGTCATTAAAGCAATTGTATATAGCTGATGTTTCAGAGGCTATTGTTACACTTAGTTTATACTTAAATTCTTTAAAGCGTTATTCAAATAATGGAAAAGCATGTCTCACAGTTTAACCCCAGCCTGCAACTAAGCACCACAATCACTTGTTCACTCCACCCACACAGCTCCCTAGCTGGATGAGGTAGAGAAAATCCATAGGTTGAGATGGGAACAGTTTGATAGAAATAAAACAAAACAAAAAATGTAATGAAAAGGAAAATAACAAAAAGAGAGAGAAATAAACCCAAGAAAAATAATTAATGCAAATTAAAAGCAATTG